AAATAGATATCAATCTGACACCGAGTGGTAGAGCCAAATTGTGATAAATAAGGGTAGCTAAAAGTTCTATCGAGGGATTAATAAAGATATATTAACTACAAAGTCACAGACTATAGTAGTATGTTTCATAAATCTAATTGAAATATTAAAGATATACATGATATATATACGAAAATATAATAAATTCCTGAAAATAACAATTATTTGAACCCAAGAATTCCCTCTCACAAAGTTATATAAAATTACCAAATAAGAAAACTTGCTAAAAGAAAATCTGAAATAAAAACTTCAAGTGTTTTTTCTAACTACTTGCCAAACATCATAATCTTCGATCGTGTAACAAGTAGCACTTTGTAACTTTGAAAAATTTTTAAAGTCCGGATAATTAGTTTTACTTTTACATTTTGATAACCATTTTCTTAAAACTGGTTTAGAATCAAAATAATAATAGTAATTTTTTGAGCCAAATATTGGACCATAATCTGAGCAATATCCAACAGCAGAATTATTTCTTTTAACGCGAGCAATTTTTGTTGTACTAAGATCACTTTCGTTTTCAAATAAAAATAAAAAATTTTTATTTGATTTTGAAAATGAATAATATGGATTTTTTTTGTTAGAATAAGGTTTCCAACCTAAATTATTATAACCACCAAACAAACATAATTCAGAATTATTTATACGTATTTTTGCTATTGTCACAGTTGGACCTTTATGATCACATAATTTATGAAATTCACTAGGTCCACCCCTTTTTGAACAATATAAAGGGATAAAATCGTAAGGATTATTATTAGAATTATAATATAATGTATCCTTTAATTTTGCATTTGAAATTGTTCGCTCAGATGTATTATTTGATTGAAATAGTCCAGATAAGAAGTTTTGAGAATCTTTTTCCAAATCCTTCTTATCAATCCAACTAGCGATTATATTAAATTGATCAGATCTAATATGAGGCATATGATCTAATTTATATCTTGGAGGTAAAATGGTAATTTCTTTAGGTAGTGAACTAGGATCCAAATGATAATTTAGGATATTATGATATAACTCAGTAGATAAAATGTTTTCAAGAAAAGAAATATTTTTCCTAAATTCTTTTCCAGATATTTGGAACCAACGAATCAAAGGAATGCAATCATCAATAATCTTTTTTAATATATTGTAATCATCATCTTTCCATGTTTTCATGTCCTCGTTTTGAAGAATTGATTGATTTTTAGCAATACCCCATTTTACTAAATAATTCCAAATATCAATTTCATTTAATTTTCCCAGATCATCACGTTTTAATATAAGTGTAAGAATGGATTGATCTAATTGAACAAACTTTTGATGTTCAAATAATGATTCAGGTGAAGCACATATAAACTGAAGACACATGTTGCGTAATGATTCACAAGAATCATATTGAAAAGCTATTTTCAATACATCAACAGAATCATGTTTCATAAAACTCTCAAGATCTTGATGCATAAAAAGGATTACTTTATCAATAAAATCTTTAAGATTTAATTCATTGACTGCTACGAAAAGTTTCAAGATTTCCAAGTCATCTAAAGTAATTTTAGCGGTATATAAATACCTTTTTAAAATAAATAAGTAATTAATAAAAAAGTTTTTTTTATGAAATTATGCACGTACGTAAAATACGTAAAATACGTAAAATTCTAAAATAATAAAAAATTTATATTACCTTAAAATAGTTTCAAAAGTATTCACGGAAATATTTTCAAATGTAAAAATTGAAAATTTTCCATCTTTTTCAACATAATTAGAAGCACCAAAAAAATCAGGAGAACGAGCGTTCAAGATGAGGGAATGAGCGTGAAATTCTTTTAAATTTTGATTATCACCAGCCCGAATGATGACATCGTAATTTGGATCATCTTGAAGTAACATTTCGTTAATTTTAGCAAGATCCGCGTATGAAGCCTCATCAAATTTTTTTGTATCCTGATTAACAGGTTTAGTTCTTGATTTTAACATTACAGTTTTTGCAGGTGGCGTGGTAGAGTCAAGATAATAAGCCAATATATCTTGATACAATTCTTTTGATAAGACATTTTGGAAAAAGGATCTTTTCTTCCAAAATTCAGCCGAAGAAATGTTATTCCAGCGAATTAAAGGAATAAAATCAACAATGATATTTTTTAAAACGGAAAATTCATTTTCCTCCCAAGTTTCAAGCACTTTATTTTGAAGCGCAGGATCTTGAGCAGTACCCCATTTGATTAAATAATTCCAAATTTCCATTTCCGTTAAATTACCCAGATCATCCCGTTGCATTATAAGAATAAGAAGGGATTTTTCTAACTCTGTAAATTTTTGATGTTCAAATAATATTTCAGGATAAGAGCATATAATATGAAAGCAAGTGTCACGGAGTGGTTTACAAGCATTATATTTAAAAACAAATTGCAAAATGCTAATTGCATCATTCCTCATAAATTCTTCTAGCTTTTGATGTATAAAAGGTAATAACCTATCAATAAAATCTTGAAGAAGTAATTCATCAGCAGCAACCAAAAGTTGTAAAGTCTCAAGATCGCTCAAGTTATTTAAAATAATTTCAGTAGTGTATATATATCTTTTAAATAAATAATAAAATTAACTTGCGATTAATAATGAAAATTAATAATTATAAATAATTATATTATTAGGAGAGAAATTAATCATCAAGTACCTTATAATAATTTCAAATAAACATGGTGGAATATTTGGCATCATAGAAATGAAGCAATCGCCTTCTTTTTTGGCCCATTTAGCAGATAAAGCGGCGCAGAAATAAGTTGAACGTGCGTTCAATATAAGTGAATGTGCTCGAAACTCTTTAAAGTTTTGTCCTTCACCAGCACGAATAATAACATCAGAGTTACGCCCATGTTGAAGTAATTTTTCATAATCACGGGCGATGTCTTGAGGAAAGTCCAATTTCATTATTTTAAAATTTAAATACAATTTCTATCTCAAAATCAGCGTTTAGATATTTATTGAACTCATCCGTTGTCATTATTCGTATACAAGAATAAAAGTACGTACGAACCAAAAGCCTTATAATTATATTATGTAAGATGAATCACAATGTTTTTTTTTAAAAGGGATCTACTTAACACAAGTGACAAATGTAACAGTTCTATTTAAATGAGAAAATTCTGTAAAGTTACGCTTTGTGTTACACAGGGAAGTTTTTATAACATGCAATATTTATCATACCCCTAGTATATATTTGTAATAGGAGTATTTTAATCTCTCTATTTGACACCTGGGTTAGGATGAACAGAATGCATTTAGCTGTATAGTATTCTTCACTACTCCGATACATATTAATGCAGTAGGATTTTTTTTAACAAAACTATATGTAAAACAAGGTTTTATTTAAGTTTAATGTTTGATTACAATGTATGCATGATCGGACAGTTTATTCCGGTCAGATCATTTTATTCTTTCTATTCATAATTTATAGAAATTTTCTATAAAAAGGGATGAATAAATTCGGTGGATTTATTTATTACAGTGAACTTTTCCCAAATACAACAATTCCTAAATGCATGCATATATTTCTTTTTCTTCCTTTCTTCTTTATAATACAATCTTAGTTCAGCTCCGAAACAAATTACTCAAGAATTTTCATTTGGCAGTCTTCTCTAAATGTTATGTTTCCTAATGAAGAGAGTTCATTGTTGCGACTCATATCTCCATAAAGAGGATGTTAAAACTTAAATTATAAGTCTTATAAGTCGACATTCTTTACTATCTACCAGCCATAATGTTGCTCGACTAAATTAAATTCTTTGGCAATTGAATTAAATTTAATTTACGAAAGTCAAAAATTGTGTTAAAAGACAAAAGTTATGAACCCGTAAAATTATGAGTGATTTTCATATGTACTGTAAGACCTAAAAGATTATTTGTGAATAATTTTTTATTTTATTTTTCTTTTCATTTTGCCGTTGTGTATACTCTTAGAAAATAATTTTCTTTATGTTATCGGTTCATTATTGCTGTTAATATAGGATAGCACAAATGGCAAAATTTGTGATACATAGATATTCTTTAAGAATCTAACAAATTCTGTTTTATTAACCGTAAAAGGAACTGTAAAAGGAGTCCATGTTATTTGAAAATCTATGTTCCAGAGTTGAACGATTTCCAGAGGGAAAGTCTTAATACTAACCGTAAACTTATAATATTCAGGTTTCATACGTTACTATATCTACGTTAGGGAATTTAAAAAAGGGAAATTCAATTCACAATAATTGCTTGCTAACTGGTCCAACTATGAAGATTATGTAATACATAGAATTAAATGTGCAATTCTAATAGCAAAAATGTACACACGTACATATGCACAAATTGGATCTTCATATTAGAGTTCAATGACCTCATATTTTAACTTTAGTCATCATTCTTAACGTCATACTAATAAGTACCGACATAAGAAAAAAATTAGGGGTGCAGTTGGTGCCCCACCTATGCACGTACGTACGTATTAAATAAAATTAATGATTTATTAGCAACATAAAGTTGAGAAAAAAGCTTTTCACAATTCTTAACATTTTAATTTCCTGAAATCGATGGCAAAAATTAGTACGTACGTAATAATAATCCCCCGTGATCTTGAAATTGTAATCGGGAGATTATGGTCTGAATACGTATGTTAGGTTTGTGGACTGTTTCCCTTTTAAGAGGTCATAAGATCAGAGATCGGAATTTTCCGTAAGCGAAAATGGAAAGCATGGTTACAGAGATATCAGATGATATGCACTTGCATTTGGTTGGATGCCGAAATTGGCTATACTTACCAAATTCATCTGGATGTGGCAAATGCGAAAAAGTTTGGGTTTGTGAATTTGATTGTTTAATTTGACAATTACTGAATTAATGACAATTATAATCAATACACCATTATGTCACGGTTTGCCTTATGTACTACCATATGACCAAAAAGTAACAATTAGTGATGGGACTATCGAGTTGCTAGTTAATAATAAAACAATTAGTAATTAGTTAATAATAGTTAATAATAATTAGT